CTCACTTTCTAAAAAAAACCCGGGACGCCCGGGACAGGACGTGAAATACGGACGTTTGGTCACCCTACTATATATGGGCAAAAATGGCCACTCCCAGACTCAGTGATCACAACGAAAATTATTGTTTCATTTTTTACTAAATAACACTAAATTCATTAAATCACCACGAACGTATTAGTTTTAGGTATAAATAATGATCTATTGATAATTCCTTGCTGACCAGACTTTTCCTTTAATGGATCAGGGCCAATGGAGTTGAAAGATTCCCAGTGCCTCTTCTGATTTATAGCTTTCATATACCTCTATAGTGATGACGTAGCGTTCAGCCAGTAACAGCAGTCGTTCAATAATGACCAGTTTTGTGGACCTGGGAACAAAAAAAAAAACAAAAAACAAACACAGACGTGGCTCAGCAACATCATTAAAATCTGATTTTATCATCACGTTATTAAATTGTATTATATTGGGACATTGCAAGAGGTTAAGTAACGATGCTCTTACCCAAACCCCCCTCTGTACCTGGAAGGTGATTGTACAGACGTGGCTACGGTTGGCATGGCGGTGGCCGTCAGCATCTTTGTTGCCTTAGTAACAGCATGGGTTAAAGTGGGCCCGCCCAGGGCCGAGCTGGCGGCCTGGGAACAAGGAGAACAGAAACGTGCTGTTGGGTGTTGATTTCTAAGGAAAAGGCTAAAACTCAGAGCTGCTCAGCTTTAAAGGGCTCACCTCCAGCCGCTTGTAGCAATCAGCGATGAACTTCTTGTGCAAAGAAACGGAATCCTGGAAGGCAGAGAAATGCTTTATTTTTTCCCCTCATTCTTAAAACCACAGATTTAGCAGACACCCTGAACCCAGCCTCCTAGGACAACAGAAATATGTTTAACTAATTCTGACATACAACAGGAGTATGTATGTTTATTACTCAAGTAGAAGAATAAATCCTACAGTTTCAAAACAGTTTCGTAGAAATTAGAGAACTCATTTAAGCTTTTTACTCATGTTTGGCTGTGACTCCATCCTGGAGAGAAATATCAGCTGTGCTGCTGCCATCAACACCTTTGTTTCTAGATGTTGGAGCTTGGCCTGTTTTCC